ACTCGCTCCGCTCGCGTTCGTCCCTACTTACGTTTTAACGCTTAGTATAGATTTCTCAAAGATGAGATATTTCCCGCAGTAAAACCCGGATAACCAGTTATCATCATACCAAATTTCATGAAAATCCCTCTTGAGGTTTTTCTGTGATGCGGTCACAAACAGACAGACTGACAAAAATTCTAAAAAGTATAGATTCGGCCTTTGTATCGTCTATATAGTATGAGTATAATAATGTCTATTTCAATAAGATTTTCCAAAAAATATTTAATGTACAAATTCGGCTTAGTTACAATTTTATTATATGTATAGATTATACTTATATGACTATGTTTTCCAGCGCGAGGGTGCGGCGCGCAACGATGCCGAGCGCGAGCGGCGCGCGCGCGGCGACTGGGAGGCGCGGGCGCGTGCCGCTGAGGCTGACGCGTCGCGACTCGCCGGCAAGCTGCATGCCGCACAACGAGAGATTGCCAGGTAAAGTAGTCTAAGTCCTTACTGTTTGACCTATAAAGCTAGGTAAAATATATTATCGATATCCTTTACAAGTCCCCATTACTCACTTGATTAAAAAAACCTATATATGTCAGATATCATATTATATATTTATTCCAAGTCACTATTACTCTCTGAGCTACGATATCTTGATTGCATAGTTAAAATATATCTTCCATTAGAGTCGCTATTATTTTGAGCTATAAATACCTGTTGTCACGTGTAAAATATTTATATTATGAATTTTATTATAAAAACTTAACTGATAAGTTAATTTCTTTATACCATCGTTATATGGATAAAGATATTTGAAAATGACATACTATTACCACTCTACTAGTCCATATAATCGTCTAACGAAGGCGTCTAGAAAGAACAATCATGTGACAGACATATAGAATGGACTGAGCCATAAATACTCTCATAAAATTTACCACTGTCTAGAAAGAGAGAATGCGAACGTGCGGTTAATAACCTGCTTTTTATTCTAATCTAAATTTATAAACGAATGTAAAAAAATTATAATATATTAAAAATTATAAGAGGAATATAATACAGAAGACTTCTGGCCGCACATTAGTTTTGTCTCTGTCGCGCGTTGCGCCTTTCCGCCACTTTAGCTGACGGATGGGAAAGAAACACTCAGTCCACTCTCTATGTAAATAGGTGAGGCGCATCCGACTGTCATACATACTTTTATATGGCAGATAGGAAATGGTTTTTGAGTTGACGGGTTTAACTGTAACTTGCTACAAGATGGTACTACAGTATTTTAACTTCGAATATTTGGACACTTGCATTTGACAACATGATGATCGCTTACTACTTATATGGTATTTTGAACTATACTACTAATCTATGAACTAAAAAAATGTTAAATATCTTAAATAAAACTATCTTTTCGGATTTTGTCGCGGATTTATTTGCATTTTTGTTTCCCGACGTTTCGAATGCTTTACAGCATCCATGGTCACGGGAGAGACTGAGGTATTACATGTCTTGAATGTATAGTTGTTACAGACAGCCTACCCACAATTAACAAAATTAGGGTAGGCTGTCTGTAACAACTATACATTCAAGACATGTAACACCTCAGTCTCTCCCGTGACCATGGATGCTGTAAAGCATTCGAAACGTCGGGAAACAAAAATGCAAATAAATCCGCGACAAAATCCGAAAAGATAGTTTTATTTAAAATGTCAAATATTCGCGTAAATCTAAGAAAGTATTATGTTAAATATCGTTAATCTATTTATAGTTAATTCGTACAGCTGAGTTATAAAAATTTCAAAAACAATATTTCTCTTGAATTATTCATACTTTAAATAATTTAAAAATCGATACGAAAACAATACCCTAAATTACAAACCTATAATCGATTTTAGTACCGAAACTTCAAGGCGAACATAATAAAGAATCACTTAACTAAATAGATGTGAAAATAGGCGAAAAAATTCAATTCCCAAACAGGCTCTGAGCAAATTGGGTCAAATCTATAACGGTCCCAGCGCCGTAAATCCCCAAACTTCGAATTTCTAACAGTTACGGCCCATCTACCAATCGGAAGAACGCTTATCGCTATCCAATGACACTGTGATTACCGTCGCCGTAAATTTGAAAACGTAACCAAACTTCGTTAATTACCAAAGTGAGATATTCTAACGAGAGATCAAATTATTTCAATGTTATGTTTATATACAAATTAAATTTAATCGATTTCCGGTCATTGACACTAGCCATTTACGTAGGACGTGTAGTAATCATAGTATTAAAAGTAGAGTGCGCCCGAATATGGTCTTTATACCCACAATAAATACAAAATAATATCATTTTAATCTCTGAAAGGTCGACCTGAAAATTAAACCTAGGACCTTATGCCTCACTTCATCCAGAGAAATCGGTGTACGAATATACATATATATATAAATCTTTCTTTGTAAAGCCGAGTACTTCATCGATCCTGTTATACTCGTAGGTTTCATATAATTGTTTTATATTTTACTTTATTAGTCATTACTCGTAAATTAAGCTATTTCACATGTAAAGCACAGATTTAGTAATGCGTGATATCGATATAAGATAATCGAATGTATTTAGCTCGATTACTTAATGATGCTATAAAATCGATTTACAGGCAATTTAGTTACTAACTTAATACACAGATCTTATCTATTCCAATTAATGTATATGTTAATATTAGTCGTTAACTAGCGCTTAACTATAATTATCTTCAAGTTTGTATGTAATGAATTTTAAATTGAAAATCGAATATTCGTGTCCGTATAATCGATATTGATTTTTTATGTTCTTAGGACTTAACCATTTTTAGAATAGTAATAAAGGTAATTATCAACATTATTATCATTAGTAAAAAGTACAGGCTATAGCTTTTAATCTACATAATAACAATACATAAAATGTACCTACCGTTCCATAATATTGCTGATATTCAGTTACATTATAAATAAGCTGTAACAAACATTTGCCCCCAATGGGTTCAAACCCGTGACCCCAAACTTATTAGGCAGGATTATTGACATTCACACCAGACAATCGCCAAACATTTACGTTAAACATTTAAATAATTTCATTTAAGAGAAGCACCCGAAGCGTAAATCATTGGACTTAGTGTCACTCACCGGTGTGAACTCGCATCTGGCACAAAAACAAATTCAATTCGTCAAAACAGTTCCAGGGATGAAACGATTATTGCGGTCTAAAAAAATTGATACCGTATTTTGATACTCTTTTGTTGGTTTGGAGCGATGGTACTCCCTGTTTTTGCACTAAAATAAAATTCAAGCTTTTATTAATATTGCTTTTAGATACGTATAGAAACCACACCTTAACGTTTTATTGCTGTACATCTTTATATGTAACTTGCTTGCCTGCTTGCTTCCCCATAAAAACTTTCATCCCCATTCTCACCCTCTTAAGGGATGATTTCCGGAATAAAAACTATTTCTCTCACTCACTTTTCATATCATGAGGTTTAAAAAAAAACTTATTTAAGTATTTTTTTTTCTTCTATACCAAACTTCCTGACAATAACAAACACATAAAAAAAATATCCAATTTGGTGCAATCGATCCGAAGTTATGCGAGTACATACATTTCGGAAATTCATTTTTGTTTAAAGCTATAGATTTTTATGACTTATAGTTAAACTTAAACTAGTTACGTAGCTTAGAATAACTGCACATACAAACAATATTAAGCGAATAGTGACTTTGTTTTATACTTTTTAAAGATAACCTACCTTCTTTTGCTCTAAAATTTTCACTAAACAGCTCTAAATTTAACTCAACATAATAATAATTTTACAATAATTCCTTATTTAGGGAAGGATTTTTTTCCTAAATTTGGATCGCACTGAATGTATATATAACCTATTAGACAAAAAATCATGAAATGATATACATAAATAAATTACACACAAATAAAATAAAGGAACTCTTCGTTTTTACAGTCGGTTAATTTAATTTTTTTTTTTATAATATTACTAGCAGAAACCGCGGCTTCGCTCGCGCTAAAACTACAATAATATCTCTAAAAAGGTAGGTTTCATACAAACTTTTATCCTCTATTTTACCCCCATATAGGATGAATTTCGAAAAATGCTAAAACACGTATGTATTTATTAATTTGTACTGAAGAGTATTAATACCAAGTTTTAAGTAATTCTGATCATAAATAATTTTTTGGTTTGTATTTTATCGTTTTCCCGTGGGAATAAAATAATCTCCCGCGGTAAAAAGCAGCTTATGTCACTCTCCAGCCCTCCAACTATCTTCACACAAAAAATCACAGCAATTCATCACTGTTTCGACGTGAAAGATGAACAAACAAACAAAGAAACAAACATACTTTCATCTTTATAATATTAAGTATGGATTATTATTTATCGAAGATTATGTTTTTCACAATGTGTATAGAAATTGTATCAAACGGGGGTAAAACGTCTTTTCGAATATTTTCTAATATCTTAGGTACTAAAATTGTCTTTATTACTCTACCTTTATCTATGTATATATAAACAGAGCAATCCATTAGTAGACATACAGATAAATGAAATTGAAGTGTCTGTTTGTAATGTCAAAATAACAACTATTTACTAAATGCATTTGAAAGTATATACAGTACATATGTATAAGAAAAACACAAATTTTGTGTGTCTGTTTGTTTCGGCTAATCTCTGAAACGGCTGGACCGATTTTAACGGGGCTTTCACTGGCAGATAGCTGATATTATAAGGCACTCCTTATAATATCAGCTATCTGCCACTTAGGCTACTTTTATTTTAGAGAATTAGGATTCCGCTCAAAAAAATTAAAACGTTCCTAGAGACGCACCCGAGCGAAGCGAGGGTAAATCGCTAGTGTTAAGTAAATGCCATAACATATTAAGTTATACAACTGTTACGTGAAAGAAAACTTACCTTAGTCAAGTGGTTAGCTACTATTACTTTATCCTTCTTTTAAGCATCTAACTAATTATTATTAATAATAATGATCTCCCGACCGATTTCGGCCACGGCGGCCAATCTCATTGAGGCTAGCCAACTGCACAGGAGATATTATAGTGCACGAGTGTACGCGCAGACACAACGTGCACTCTCTATTCCTATCACTCTCATACTCCGGTTTGACGACAGCTCGACACGACCAGCGAGAGTTAAGGCGCAGGTCCGACGGCATTACGTGCTCTCCGAGGCACGGGGGTGAAACACTTCCAACTTACCAACTCCGGGCTGTTACTGAGGCTTACTACACAGAAAAACTCAATAACTAAGCTTGGCCCGACCTGGGACTAGAACCCAGGACCTCCGGGTGTGCAGCCGTACATGCTAGCCACTACACCACCGAGGCAGTTTTTAACTGATTATTAATGATTAACTGAGTATTATAACGTCATGACTAACTCATGATATACGACTACTCGTATAAACAAGAAAATACTGGCTATTTTTCATCCCGGAACATTAGTTTTCCCATGGGATAAAAGCTTGATCCATACAGTGATTAAAGACGCATCTTAGGAAATATTGTGTATATCTATACATACTTATAATAAAATTGTAACGAAGCCGAATCTGTACATTGAATATTATTAAGAAAATCTTACTGAAATAGATTTTTTTATCGATACAGAGGCCGAATATATAGTTTTTAGAATTTTTGTTACCGCGTCACGGGAAACCACTGGATAGATTTTGATGAGGTATGGTGATAGCTGGTTATCCGGGTCAACATACAGGATATTTTTCACCGCGAGAAAATATCTCATTTCTGAGAAAAATACAAAAACTTCAATGTAAGAGTGTACTAATATATAAAACATAAGAATTTGTTTTTGGTCATCTAAAGTGATAATAAATAAATAAATAAACGCGCGCGGAGCCGCGGGAAATGCTAGTACATGTATATAGTATTGAACGAAATACCTAAGAGAATGTATTATACTTTACCATAGTACGATGTATCTAAATAATGTTATGAATATTATTAATGTCGATTTGTATCTTATGTTTTTTTTTTATTTAAAAATATATTTTTAAATACGGACTTTATATGATTTATTTTATCTTTATATTATCTGACAAAGAACTCTTATAAAAAAAGTATTAAGACCATCTTTTGTTCATTTTATACGTGCAATAATATTAAAAAAAACATAACTCAGTCAAATAAAAAGGCCATCAAATAAAAAATCCAATTTAGTTCCCCAAAAACAATATAAGCATAACATTTTCAGCTCCATAGCGTTTCAACCATGAACTTCAGCTTCCGATCCCGACCTAATCCAAGGTGTCTATTTATAGAGCCCCCTTCATCGTAAAACTTATAAATAATAATCGGTCTGTATTATTCTTTGTTAGCTATTAGAAAATTAACCTTACCACTCATAATAATAAGGTTAATTTTGAAAACGACGAGGGTTTGGTAGAGCACCTATTCTACCAAACGCCAGCATTTGATTTTGAACTCTTTAGATTATGATATATGATTGATTTTTACGTGTACACTTAAATATGCATTAATACTTATCATGATGCAATAGAGTTTTATGCGGTTCACTGTACTTGTAGTGAAAACATACCAAAGCGTTAAGAGAGTATATTTATGGGAATATGGAATTAAATCATTTAGTCATCACGTGCTATTTTTAGAATCTATCAACACGCTCTTTTATGAACTTCACTTTTTATGAAATCGATTTCTATGAACTTTTCATCATATCGATTTAAAAATTATAAGTAGTTATATGAAATCTAGGTGACAATATTTGATACCATTCATATGACTAGGTTATTTTAAATGGCAATGTATTCGAATTTGGGCGAGTTTAAATCGTTTTGAATATCTTTAATATCGATATTAATTAGTACTTATTCGATTTTTAGTTATCTTTAAGAGTTATTATCGTTATTATCTTAGTTTTTTAAAACTATAATTATTTTTAAACACTACGTTCCATTTATCAACTAAATTTACATTTTTCAACCTCCTTATTTTAACTCGATACAAAATCTATACATGTAATAAAATTGTAACTGAGCCGAATCGGTATATATTTTTTGGAAAATCTTATTGAAATAGCCATTATTATCGATACAGATGCTGAATCTATAGTTTTTAGAATTATTGTCTGTTTGTCTGTCTGATGAGATAACCACTGGACAGATTTTGATGAAATTTGGTATGGTGATAGCTGGTTATCTGGGTCAATATATAGGGTATTTTTACTGCTGGAAAATATCTCATCTCTGAGAAATCTATACTAAACGTTAAAACGTAACTAGGGACGAACTCGAGTGGAGCGAGGGTGAATCGCTAGTTATATATAAAAATTGTATTGCATCGTAAGACATTGGGTACTTTTAATATAAGGAGATAGAATTTTAAACCTTTTGTTCTGTCCCCCTTACCCGAAGTTCGGGGAAATCCGAAACTGGAAAATCACTGCACATATTAATTAAAAGTTTCTTTTTAAAATAATGCTTTCATTAAGAGTCTCCCGAATAACTTTCTTGGATTTGTTTTTGTTAGAGTGAAAAAAAAAACATAAAGGTGTAAAGAAATCAACTATTGCATTTTTGTGATCATATTCTTCTATACCGCAGAATGTATATAATTAGATTATATGATGTAAATTAAATATTATTTAATTGGTCAAATATTGTCGTACCTAAATACTTTACAAATAAAGTCGAATCGTTAATGTGGTCGAAGTTTCGTTAAGTAGGAAATAAATATTTACTGCTTCAAGCTCTAGGTCTAATTAAAGGTGCAATACATTGTGAAATATAACAAACTAGCACTGCCCGTGGCTCCGCCCTCGTTCAAATGACCAAAAACCAAATTCTTAGTTTTTACATATTAGTATACTCTTACATTGCAGTTTTCGTATTTTTCTCAGAAATGAGACATTTTCCCGCGGTAAAAATATCCTATATGTTGAACCGGATAACCAGCTACCATCGTACCAAATTTCATCAAAATCCCTCCAGTGGTTTTTCTGTGATGTGGTAACAACTGACAGACAGATAGACAGACAGACAAAAATTCTAAAAACTATAGATTCGGCCTCTGTATCGATGATAATGTTTATTTCAATAAAATTTCCAAAAAAATATTCAATGTATAGATTCGGCTTAGTTACAATTTTATTATATGTATAGATTATTGTTACTTTTAAAAATCAACAATTATACAAATATTTTTGCACATTTATATACATACAACTAGTTTTTACTGGGGCCGGGATTTAAGGTAGCCTATGTCCGGCCCTACGATACAGGACTTGGACTAAGTGTCCTTTAATCAAAAATGGCCAAATTTAATCAAAATCTGTTCAGCGGTTGGAGCATGGAGAGGTAACAGACAAGATTACTTTTATCTATACCAATATTATATAGAGGTAAAGTTTGTGAGTTTGTGACGTTGTAGGGGGCAATCACTGGATCTACAGAACCGATTTAGATGAAATTTAGTAAGAAGGTAGTTTGAGAACCTGGAAAGGACATAGGATACTTTTTATCCCGGAAATCATCCTTTAAGTGGGTGAAAACGGGATGATAGTTTGTATATGTTGTAGAGCGAGGCTGAGTCGCTAGTATATAAATAAATAAAAAGATAAAGACTTACTGAGTACTTTTATTAAAACATATTTCTTCTAGAGCGTCCTTTTACAGTACCAATTATACATCGCTTCATAAAATTGAGACGTCACTGGAATCCGATACGAGAGCACAATAATGTCACCCCAGCATAATTGTCTGTTTTGTTTGTAAGTTGAAACTAAGGAGTCCGACCCTCCTTTTTATTTTACGATGTTCTAAAATTATTTCGGTAACTTTAAACCCTGTCCTTGAAGTGAAATTGAAAGTGCTGGAATGGTGGAAATTTTGAGAGCATTTTCAAGTTATTTATTATGAAAATAACAGCATGTGCTTCATTTTCAAAAATGTTTATTGTTTTTTAGATACGTTTTGTTTGAATTAAACAACAAATAAATCGGTTTCACACTTCACAAACTTGTAGTTGTCAGTTGTTTATATATGTAAAACAAACATTGAATTGAAAGTTTATATTAACTTAATAAAAATCTTTCCTTTTTAATCAACTATACGGGAATTAAATATTTGAATGGCATTCGTTTGTCCCTAGAATTATGAAGGATCATTTAACAAAATATATTTTTATACACACATGTAGTTTTTTACTTATATAATTTTTTATACACTTAACAACGGTTTAGTATTATTTTTTGCCTTTTTCATTATAAGTTATTTTAAAATATAAAGATAAATTACCCCTAAACAGGTGTAATATTTATTTATTTATGTTATGTAATTGTAAGAGTCCGTACAGCTTTTTATTAAAAAATAATCAATTTTAATATTTGATTAATGAAATTTTAAGCCATACCTTGAATTAATCATATCCTGATCTATAACTTAAGAGTTATCACCATTTAGATATGTCCAAATACCATTCAATTATACTTGAAGTGCCGCTCGAGTGCAGACCATGTGCGCACTTTGAGAATTTAATTACTATCTTTTATCAAGTACATTCAATTATATATCGAGCCTTTATAAATTAGTAGATTGTTCTTCAGAAATAACTGACATATTTGTTTCAATATAAAATCTCAAATTAAAGAATTATATATGGAGTACGCCAAAATAAATGTTCAAGTTAAAAAACAGTAGCGTGATTTACTGTTTATGCTACTATTTTGATTTTTACCATACAGATCGTATATATATATATATATATATATATATTATACCTATCAGTTATATTATCTAATTTTTAAACGTAAAATGTAGGTAATAGAAATAACACTATGTTCTTTTATCTATTTATACTTTCCCCTAGTTCTTTTCTCCTTGAAAGAGAGATAGAACAATATAAGATTTTCAAAAGCTTTAGCTTCAAAACTTTCTTAAATCAATATCTTAAATCATATTTAAATTAAATATCTTTCGTTACTTACAAATATATATTTTAAAAAGCTTAAACCATACCAATTTGTATATTCAAACAACTCAATTTCTAATATATATATATATATATATATATATATATATATGTGTGTATGTATTCTCGGCGTCAGACGAACGAGGGTGTCTATTTTTAATATCATTTACTTTCCATTTCAAAGCTCATTAAGCGCCTTGCACTCATTATTCCATACAATTAAAACCACTACG